AGGGCTTGCAGTGGGCTCAGGCAGGAGGACATGGAGAGGTGGCTGGGTGTATGGAGGGCTGCCATGGTGGGGTGTAGCCAGCCGGTGGCAGAGGGCTGCAGGGACCAGGAGCACAGGGAGAAGCCCTGCAGCAGGGCTGGGGTGCATGGTGGGGTGGAGGGGACACTGCACGGTGTGCAGGCAGACTGCGTAGACAATACCCCCAGCAGTGCTGGGATGGTGGGGCACATGGTGAGGCTCCATGGGCCAGGCAAAGGAGCACAGGCAGTGTGTAAAGGGGAGAGAGTGCAGTGAGGCAGGGGTCTACAGAGAGGACAGGACCTCAGGGTGGAGCTGAACTGAGAAGAGCTGCACATGGGGAAGGGCAGACAGGTGGGGGCACATGGAAGGCTGGGCCAGGCTGTGGTGCTCAGGGGATGTGGTGCACACCAGAATGTCCCTTGGCTGGGGTCCCTGGGAAGGGTGCATATGGGTGATGGTATGTGAAGATGACAGTGAGAAGCCCTACCACTGCAACTGGGAAGGCTGCGGCTGGAAGTTCGCCCGCTCCGACGAGCTCACGCGTCACTACCGCAAGCACACCGGCCACCGGCCCTTCCAGTGCCACCTCTGCGAACGGGCCTTCTCCCGCTCCGACCACCTCGCCCTCCACATGAAGCGGCACATGTGAGCGGTGGGCTGCGGCCGCACTGCCCTCCCCTCGGCCCAGCGAGTCCCTGGAGCAGCTCGTGTTGTAAATAGTGCTGGGCTGGGGATGGCCCTGGGAGCAGCCCGGCCGCCCAACCCTCTTCGCTTGTAGTTTGTCACTAGTTCTGTCCTCCTGCCTGTTCTGTGGGAGCCGGGTCGGGCGGTGGGGAAGGGCCGCTGAGGGGCGCGGAGAGAGCGAAGCCTCAGGAAACCTCTCCAGCCCCTGGCCCAGGCACCGCCGCTCTGCTCCCCTGAGCAGGACGATGGGGCTGGTGCAGCAGAGACCTGTGCCCAGAACTTGCAGATTATATTTGGCATCAGTTTAATGTGCTCCCCATGATCCAAGCACCTCACAGCTCCAGGGGCTGTGGCGCCCGGCTCCAGGCAAGTTTCTGCTGGAGGCCAAGCTCCACTGGGCGTGCGGGTCACAGCCCTCGCAAGTGAGTTGCTGGTTGTCTTTATTGCAGCCATCAGAACAAGCGCCGCCTGACCCAAAAGCCCAGACAGGGTGAGGGTGGGCCTGACTGTGGCTCCTGTGGCTCGTGGGTATAAAGGTTTGCAGGGGTTGGCAGCGAAGTGTCACCTTGCCCAGGGAGGGACTTCTCTCCTGTTGCCAGCTTGGGACCCAGCCGGCGAGTCCGATCCTGGCCGTTCCCACAGCTCTCCGTTTGGGAGCCTAAAATGGCTTTCCTTGCTCTCGTTTAATTGTCTGCTTTAATTTGTCTTGTTCTTCCCCTCAGGATGACACCAGGTACTGCTGCAGCTGCCTTCCCTATGCTGCCTTTTTTTTTTTTTTTTTTAATTTAGTGTGTAAAGGACAGTGAGTCCAGCTATAAATGCCCAGGTCTCTGCTATACTTGAAACTTTCTTAGAGGAAAAAGAAAACTCAAAAGAATGAGTCTTTTTATGTGCAGCTTCTGCAAAGCAAGTTGTAAATTAAACAAAGCAGTAATATATAATGTTTCTGTTTTTTAATATATTTTTCTTCCAGCTGGGAACCCAGATGAGTCTCGGCTTTGGGAAGTACACTGTTTCCCGTCTGTGTATATTGTTAATTAACATTTCTCTGCTTGGGCACGTTAGGTCTCTCGCACTCTGAAATGTTACTTTTCTTTATATGCAAACTGTTGAAATATTGTGATCTGCTGTATAATAAATAAACAAGATGTAAACATGAAAGAGGCAGGAGAGTTTGCTTTAAAGCTTTCTTCTGAGAGGAGTGGGTGAGGCCGAGCTTGCTTGTCAGTAAATATTTACGTCGATGTTCATTTCTGCTTAAGTTAGCTGCGGAGGATCGATGGGGAACGCCCAAGCCTCAGCATCCGAGCGGCATCTCCTGTGCAACAGCTCTTGAGTCACCCCATTTCCCCGTGCCTCAGTTTCCCTAATCTGCAGATGGGGCAATTGCAGCACAGGGATGGCGTGACCGGCCCTACGGTGAGTCACTGCTGAGGGGATCAGCAGCCGAAACTCCTTGGAGCCTCCTTATCCCGCGTGGTCCCGGTTCCGCTGTTGCCTACAGCAGGTTCTCTTCTGCGCTGCCTTGCAGGGACAGCCACAAGGTCCTTGTGGGCCGGGTTCTGTCCCCGCTGGTCCTGGCGGCTTCCCCTGGTTCAGGTGTGGAGGTTTCCCCGGCGTTAATAGGTGGTGACTCAGCACGAGGCTGGCGGCAGGTCCCGAGCTCAGCGAGCAGCTCTGTCTCCATCCTCCCGCCCTCCCACGGCCCATTACCCGTGATGCACGCACGCGGCTTGCCCGGGCCTGACGGGAGCATGCCGAGCGGTGCCCCGTGCTGCACCGTGGCCCCAGGCAGGCGGCCAGGGCTGGGGGATGCCCTGGGGGCTCCTCGGCCTGTGAGCGGAAATTGGCTGGAGCTGTGGCCGGGGCTGGGGCTGGGCTGGTGCTGCTCCTTCCGAGCTTCCCGCTCTCAGCTGTGCGAGCCCAGGTGGAAGGAATGGAGAAGAGCAGAGCTGATGTCCCCCTACCTGGGTGACTGCTGCTTTGGGGATGGGTTGGCTCTTTTAGGGACACTATCTGGGCTTTGGGGGCCACTATCCAGACTTTTGGGTTGTGTCTGCTCTGGTGACCCTGGCTGCTTCAGGCAGAGCAGGCCCTTGAGTCCTGCCTGTGCCCTGGCTGTGGGACTGTCCCCAAGTGTCACATAACTGCCAGGCTTGTCACTTGTCCTTTCTACAGCTGCCCCCATCCTTTGCTTGCCCCAGTTCTTTCAGTGTGTGCAGGGGACGATGCCAGTGGGGGCACGATGCCCTGTGTTGGGGTGGCTGGAGCATCTTGCTCTCAGGACCCAAAAGTGAGGGTCCGACAGGGTCCAGAGCCACTGCCTCTGCTCCGAAGGCTTGTTCAAAATGTCACACGGAGGGAGAGGGAAAGGTGTGGGCTGTTTGAATTAGCGATGAGTCAGGCTGGCAAAGCCAGATGGGGAGAGAGTGCGTGCCTGCGTGTTTGTGTGCGTATAAGTAATCTCTGGCTTTGTGTTTTTATTATGATTATTATTTTTATTTCCAGGGGAACGATGAATTTCTCCAACCATCCCGTCCCACTGGAAAGGCTGGCTCTGCTGTCCCGTCTTCCCGGAGCCTCCTGGGAGCTGGAGTGACAGTCCGCGGCTGTTTTTGAGGTTTGCCTGTGAGATCAGAGTACAAACCAGTTCTTCTTCGCCTTTCATCATCGCTGGGCCGGGCAGGAGCGAGGCACGGCTGCGTGCGCTCCTTGCTGCCGCTGCCTCGTGCGGAGACCACGAGCAGCGCGAAGGCGCTTTGGCTCCTTCTCCGGGGCAGAGACACTGGTGGTGACAGCTCTGTCCTGCTCCCCCAAGCCCTGGGGCAAGTTGCTCCCTTGGGCACCCAATCGGGTACTTACTGGGTAAGTAAGTACTGCACAGCTGGGAACCTCACCTGAGCAAGGAGTGGCTCCAGTGGAAAAGGCAATTACCTTTAATTTGGTGTTAATAAAATTCACCCTCTTCCAGTTGCTTGGGCCAAGGTGCCGCAGCGGTGCGAGAAGGGAGCCCTGCAAATCCTGCTGTGCAAAGCGATGAGGGCAGCCCCAAAATATACTCAGCAATGCTGAAGAAACGCCGTATGCAGGAGAGGCCTCGCAGGGCAGGGCTGAGGTGCTCCCCTGCCCATGGGCCATTGGCCCAAGCTCGGCTCAAAAGCACTTTGCCCTGCCCTGGCTGGGGCACGTGAGGACCCAAATGTCCCTGCAAATGTGCTGGGGCAGGAGATGTGGCATTGACAATGTGTCCTGCTCCCTGTCATCCCAGAGGGGAGAGGGGATGCTCCAGAGGTGCCAGGCTGGTGCCTAATCCCTCTGAATTCCCCCTTCTGCCTCTTCCCAGGTCTGGAGAGTCCCAGGCAAGTCCCAGCATCCAGGGTTGCATGTGGGGCTGGTGCAGAGGTGCCCACACGCTCGCTGCTCCCATCCGCATCCCCCGGCCTGGCTTTCCTTGAGACTGGTCACAGCCTGCCTGGGCTCACGGGGCTGGGATGCCAAGGCCCCTGGTCCCCACGACTTAACATTGAGGCACAGCCCTGCCGGCCTTGCGGTGCAGCGAGGCGAGGGGAGGAAAGGGGAGAAGGGAGAAAGGAGCCGAGCAAGGCATGGAAAAACACCTTGCTGCACGGAGGCCGAGTCCCGGCCGGAGCACGGCCTAGCGCTGCGCAGTCACCATCCGCCTGGATGGGGCCCGGGGAGGAGAGCAGCGCGAGGAGGCTTCTGTACTCCAGGGAAAACCCAGCTTGTCCCATGAGGGGAAGCATCCTGCAGCCAGCGGGTCCCACAGACCCGGCCCAAGGCTGTGGGACACCGCAGTGAATGGGGACAGCACGGGAGCCGCGGCAGCACCGGGCAGCGGAGGTGGTGCCCAGCCCTGTGTGCTCCTGTGTCTCCAGTGGGGAAGGGTTTGGGGCTGCCTGGGACCCCCAGACCCTTCTCTCACAGGATGCATGGAGCAGGAGCCCTTCTGTGGATGGGGATTTCACTGAAGGATGCTCCTGGGCAGC